CACACACACACACACACACACACACACACACACACACACACACACACAGCACAGCACTCTGTCAGGCTAGACAAGCTAATCCCAGATAAGAGAGCAAAGACAACCCTTTTCATTAATGGCATCAGCTCACCAACAAAGGCTGGCTGACAGGCTGGCTAACTAAAGCACAAACAAACACACGCACGCCCACACAGGATAAAGTTATTTGAAGACACTAAAGTGACTGAGAAAGATCCAGGCAAACAATGCCCTGACAGAAACCCAGTTTTAAATGCAGCAACAAATACGATTTCTTTCTTTAAATCCAACTTTGTATTTTGATGTGCACCGTAATTATCGGTGACATTTTTATCGCAACAAATCAACGGTCCCATTTTAACTGTGTTAACAATGATTGACTTCTTTCTGATAGTAATTCAGCTTATATATACACAGTTGCTGAAATCCTAAACATTGTTGATGAGTTCGGGCTGAAATGCTGAACCAACCCTTCATGTACTGAATAGCACTGGTGTATTGAATAGTAAGTGCAGCTATAAAGCATAGATGTTCAGTAACTTTTCAGTCAGTGTTACATTTGCGCATTTGAAAAAATCAGTTGATGAACATTATCAGTAGAAAGCAGCTGATGGAGATTCTCTGGAGCTGAAAATAAAGCCAGCTCTAACTCTTCCAGGCACAACTTCAGCCTGCCTTCAAAATGGAGTCAATCCCCATTGACTCTGATGTAATGTCCCAGCATTACAGCATCAATGTTTTTACAAGCCTGCTACATAAAACTAACTAACTAATAATAATAATTGTGTTGGGTCATGTATGGTTTGATTGATGTCCTGACACCGGAAGCTGATGCTGAGTGGTCTCTGCTAGCGTCACCTCAGCTAATTTGAGAGATTTTTAAAATACCTTTCGGGCTATTTTTAAATCGTTTATCTGATCTTTATCAAGTCCTTGCAAGAAGTTTGAGCTTCAGCTTTGTTGAGTAAAATTCTAAAATCCCAAGTCCATTAATTAGGACTAGCTAGCTAAGTAGTTTATGGAGGCAACTTGCTAACCAAGCTAACTAGCCTTTAGCTGATAAATTAGCACTCTTTTTTCCTAATATGGTTTCAAAACTAACATGGTGGCATCTAGAACAGGAGATAAAGTAATAGTTCAGTCAAAATGTATTTAATATATAATCATCTCACAATACAGCAATTAGCACCATATGCCATTTTATTATAAAATCTGCACCTCATCTATGACCATTGTTAATCTGTCCCTGGAGTCAAGCAGTAGATGTGATAATGTCCAAATACTTTGGAGTGAAGTAAATGTGCAATATGCTATACTGTCCATTGAGCAAGACACTTAATAAAGAAAACAAAGCAAAGAAAGAACAAAACAAGACAAACAGACGCTGCTTAAGGATGTTTAAAGTTTAAAGAGCTGCAAAAGCTTGTCATTTGTTTGTGAATCCTTTTCCAAATAAAATCCACAACAGAAGTGACCGACAAGAAATGACAGTCAGTCATACATAAAGAACAGATTACAGCTATACCTTTCTACTCGCTATTTCTCCTTCCTGCTTCCATTGATGAACTGCAGTAATGCCTCTCTGCCTCCAGAGGGCAAATTCCCACAAGTAACCACTGAACTGTGAAAATTCTGCAGTGAATGTGAAAAAATGCTGCCGTTCTCCCTTGTCCCTTTTCCCTCTGTCACTCTCTTTTGAACTGGGTGCCTCTACTTTATTTATTGCACGTGTTCTTTTGGTGTCTAAATTTCCATATTCACAGCTAAAGCATCCTTTGTCGTTATACATGTTCTTTGTTCCTTGGATTATCTTTAAATTAATGCATATATTTTCTTTTCCACACTGTGCGTGTTTCTCAAAGGCATTTTCACACTGCAGGCGCGTCACCTTCTGTTTGCATAATAATGTCTGATGCTTTCACTCTTCACAGGACACAACCACCTGTGCTTATATCAGATCCTGGCAGTGATGTAACATTAGTTTTAAATATTCTTCCCCCAAGATTAAGATTAGGATACACTTTATTTGGCTTCACCAGAAAAACAAAACACCTTTTCATTCTTCAGTTCTGTGAAAAATTATTTAAAAAAGCAGGGCAAACACACACATATGAAACAGAAGCCTAAAAAAAACTACGCATTGCACAAACACCCATTTCCAGGAGCATCTTTCATTACATGGCGTTTAGTGTCTTGATGCTGACAGGAATTAATGTTGTGTTTCAGCTGGTTATGTACCAGACGCTAGAAGCTTAAATTTACTGTACGAAATGTGGGTAGGGCCAGACGCTATTTTTTATACTTACTTGGTCAAGGCCTGCACAAAAATCAGCTGCAGGCAACAACGATTCTTAACACCAATGATTTTCATGGCAGATTTAATCAACTGGCCAGTTTGCGATTTCAGATGAACTCATCCCACAGCAGATGATACTCTCTCAAACTGCCTGGCAGAAAACTATCATCAGTTTCTGTTCAACACTACAGAGCTTCTTTCTCTACTCCTCTCTATCCCCAAAACACACACACACACACACATCCTTGTTCTTCTGCCTTTGTTGGGCAGAAACACACACAGTCACTCTCACGATTACTCTCGACGTTATCACCCATCTGGTTAGTGTTTGTCCAAACCACACAGGCCAATCCACTCTCCAGTAACCAAAACACACACACACACACACAAACACATGATGCCATGAAACCACGAAATTACTCTAATTTGTTTTTAGACAGAGAGGGACATTTTGATTGAGGTTCCTGATATTTTAGGTTGCACCGATTGTTAGGGTGCAGGGAACAGAGGACGTCTGAGAGCTCAGACTGTAAAACTGCAGCTGTTCATACTAAAAAGAATTTACACCACACTCTCTCACTTTCTTTCACACACACACGCACACACACACACACACACTCCAGTTAAAATCAGAGTTGGACACAGGGCTTCTGAGTCTCGCCGTTGGTCTTACCTGCGCTTACAGTGATGGCTTCTATGAACTGGTCTCTCCAGCTGTTGGTTCCCACCAGCAGAGCCAGGTTGGTCTTCTTTATCAGCTTGTCCACTGTGTTCTGCCAAAGGAGAGACAGATTATCAGTCATTTGCATCTAGCATAGGAAATCTCTTGGATTTCGACACAGCATGAAATAAGAAACTGGCACTCAGCTTTCACAGGAAATGCATTTTTTTATGAATTTCCAGGGACATAATAAAGGTGAAAACATAAACATACTCTGTATCAGTTTCATACAATTCATGACTGAAGCTATAAGACGCACACTGCAGTGAAATATTAAAATTCAAGACTATCTTACAGCTGCATCATTCCTGTGCATCGCTTTATACATCTTCCCCAGCCTTATATTTGTGATATTTCTGCAAGAATTCAAAATATAGTTTTCACTGCCATTTATTAAATAAACATTTAGATATACAGTAGACTTGTTTGTTTTTCTTTCCATATATGTCTCTGTTTACTTCCATTTTCCTTCCTTTTTCTTTCCACGGTTTCCTTCCATGTGCATTATTTTACAGTATTTACATTTTTATTACAGTCTTCTTCAATAGGAAGAAGCTAAAACAGACTGGGGTAACACAAACAATCCAGCATGCACACACATATACTAATTAGTGAGCACTGGGGGAATGCACTCTCCTTTTCTGAGGGAAGCTGTGATGCTACTTGTGTTGAATGGAGCTTAGGTGTGTAAATAGGGCTTCTTAGCTGTGGACACAAACATGCACAGACACAGCCAGCTTTACTCTGCCTATTGTATCTGGAGTGTTCGCTTAACTGCATTCACCTAGGTTTTGTGCATAATACCGTCTTCTACGATTGCCATTTTATCATTCTCTAATGCTGTTACTTTTATCAGCTTTGCTTTCCATCTCTTTTCTTCGCTCCCTCAATTACTTTGGACTCAGTCAGACTGAAACATGCAAATGCATGGGTTTCCTGTGTGTATCCATGTGAATTTCCGCTTTATTTTGGGAGGGCCCCATGCTGGGACTGAGGAACGTTATGTATTTTTCTTCTGAAAGACACATGAAAAGACTTCTTGACTCTGTGTTTATCTTAGAAAGGGGTCAAAATCATCAAGATTGGTTTCATCATAGAAATCTAACAGACACAATGTTTGCTTTAAATGAGTGAAAACTAAATTATGTCAAAATCAAAAGAAAGTAAGTACTAGTGAAAATTATACTTGAGATAAAAGCTGCAATTTGCACATTGTAAAGTCAGTATTTTGTGGCTTATGTGATTTAATTATAACTTAACTAAAAATAAATTGTTGTTCCTTTGGATGACAGTAATTACATAACTACATAAATGACTTGAGAAGGAGTAAGTTAATATTTTGGGATGACAGTTTTTCTTACAATACTTTTCTAATCTTCAGTCAGTAAGCTGAACTAGAGTTTAGTTTTAATCCTCCAGCAAGTGGTGCTATATAATCCAGTGATGATTGAGCTAAAAGTCACAAGTAAAATTAAAAGATAACACAGTCTGACAGGCATAAAATTATACTTTTGTATCAACATAATTCCCAATGAGCTTTTATCCAAAAACTGGTATACAGGTCCTGAGTGAGTGCCTATACCCATCTGTAGAACAACATGGAGGCTCTGACATAGAAATAAGAAAGCTTGCCTAATAGAGTTTAGATTGTGTTGAAGAGTAAATGTGGTCATATTGTAGATTGCAGTTCAATTTCATAAGAAGTGTAGAAATTCTCATGATTTTGAAAGTCTTATGAGAGACTTTTTGCCTTCTAGGCATTTCCATTTCTAGTCCCACATTTCAATAAATTGCTCCAGACATTTCTCATTTTCCCAGCACCATATTTAAAGAAATAATCAGTGGCTCAAGACTTTATTATTATATATTTATTTATTATTATTGCGCTAAAAACACAAGGGTAAAAACATTGTAAACCTTTTTTTCCTTTAACCTCCTATCCTTGTTCAGTCTCTAATGTCACTCCACATCTGCCAGTGGACAGTACTTTAGATAACTATAGGATCTCTTTACACATACACATACACATACACACTGAACTACTTGACAAACTATAGTATCCTGTCAAGTGGCAAGCTATTAGTGGGTGCTATTAGCTGTCTTTTTAGAGTGATTGTGTAGGTGGAGCAGGAGCAAAGAACATGCATTAGTACACACAGTCCCACACATACACACACACAAATGTAACATGGATGGTAATTACATCTGCACTCGTCTTTAGAGTCTGTGTGGGTGAAGGGAAAGGAGGAAATTAAGCAAACATAACAAATATCCAATTATTTCCTATATGTATCAGAAAAAATTGTGCATGAATATGTTATATGAGCTTTATTTTAATCCTTTGTTGCCCTTTTGTGAACATATTAGCATATTACTACACTCGCAATAGACAATAATAATAATAATACTAATAATAATAACTTTATTTGTAAATCAAAATCAAGTGCTCCACAGTTTGACTAAAACCACACAATAAAAAATAAGCATACATGTTCCAGCATATAGACATGCAGTCAGCCATATGGTCTTATATTAATTCCAACATACACCCTTCCGTACACCAATTTGAGGGTCTCGAAAAGCGCTATATAAATGCAATCCATTATTACTATTATTATTATTAGATGAGAACTATGGCCAAAAATAATGGGAGAAAGATTAAGGAAAAGCTAACCTATAAAAAGGAGTTTTGAGCAGTCATGTAAAACAAACCACTGCTTCAGCCGATCTAATAATGTGAGGAAGGCTGTTCCAAAGTTTAAGAGCTACAACCTCAAAAGCACGATTGCATGAAGTTTTCATCAGCAGCCTAGCTGTTGCATTCTAAACTAGTTGAAGACACACAGAATGAAAAACATGTAAACAGCATGTCTTTCATCCTCACTTCCCTCTCTCACACCAACCGGTCGCAGCAGATGGCCGCCCCTCCCTGAGCCTGGTTCTGCCGGAGGTTTCTTCCTGTTAAAAGGGACTTTTTCCTTCCCACTGTCGCCAAAGTGCTTGCTCATAGGGGGTCATTTGATTTTTGGGCTTTTTCTCTGTATGTATTATTGTAGGGTCTACCTTACAATATAAAGCGCATTGAATTGAACTGAATTGAATTGAATTGAAAGACAGGATAAGGATTACTGAGACATGCATGTGAAAACAAAATTTAAAGCATGTATTCAAAGTTCCAAATTGTTGGATTACAGACAACACGTAGGTTTTGAAAGCAGACAGAGATATGTCTGCTTTTAAATATCCTATTGTGTCATGAAATCTTATTGTTCAAGGATGTTTGAATCCGAAAGTTATACTTCAGAGTAAAACATCCTCAGTTTTCCTGCCATCTAAACTTGTTTTATTGTCCTCAGATGAGATCTGTCATCTTTATCTCACCACACAAAGGCTTCATTTCAATCCAAAGTACCTAAACTGCATGCAATCTGTGTCCACTGCCATGTGCAAATCTACAAAAACTATGCAAACCAGTCAGCTGATATATGAAAAAGCAATAGATTTGGGATGTCTTTTTCTCCCGTTTGACTATATAGGCTTCGTTTCGGTATATTTGATGTCAGCAATGCAAAAGATTACACACTAAATGTCACTGTATAACAGGATAGCTTTCTCCCTAGTATAAAGGGCAAATATAGCCCATATCCTTTTGTAAATCAATGCTAATGTGTCAAAGCACAATGAAAAAAGCAACACACAACTCTATATATGGTTACAGAGTTTTAAAAATGGTGGCTGCTATAAAATTCTGCTTACTCAACCAATCAATTCACCTCTACAAGCTGTATCCCCCGGAGTTCCTGTGAAGTGAAAAATGCTACCATTTAAACAGAGTCTTTTGGAGCTCTGGCTTTTGTTCCTGTAGTAGAAACACACTTAGTTCCCCTTCGGGTTGAAAAGTTCCTGCACTGGAAATATAGTCAATGTGGCACCGCCTTACCTTGAATTCATATGATTCCTCGATGATCACCTCCAGTTTGACATGATCTCCCAACATTGGACGGCCCATTTCAGCTATGCGGCGTTCCTCTTCATCTTTTCCTGTCAGCGGCTCTTCTTCCACTTCTTCGTCTTTCTGCTGTTCCTCTGAAGAAACAAAACAGGGGACACAAACAGTTAGAAAAGAAACAGCAGTAAGCCAGTCAGTTGTGTTAATGCAGATTGGAATTTATGCAAGAGATTAGCTGAAAAAAAGATAATAAAGTGAAGGAAGCTAGTTGTGTAGCACACCAGAAGAAGTAGTTTCAAATAAGAAATAAGCTGATATTGTTATTTTATTTTATTTATTTATTTATTTTTTAAGTTTTCAAAATCAGTTTTCTCAAAAGTTAGCATGTCAGGTGAAACCATGTCAGGTGAAGTTGTCAGGTACAACTTCAAGGTCACATTCTGGATGATCTTGTTCTAGTGGAGTGATATCTCTTATACTACAATGAAGAGGACTTTCTTCTTCCAGTCTTTATGCCAGTCACACTGCAGTTACCATACCAAAGTGTGATGTAGCTGTTCAGGATGCCCAAACAGCTTTTATTGAGACCCAACATTGCCTCCATAAAACGGGGTTCTCACTTGCTTCATTTACCAACCTCTACACCTTTGGAGACAGAGCCTTCAGTGTGTCAGCGCCTACCCTGTGAATTCCCATCTGAGCTCGGCAGTGTCCCTTCATTTAACTTCTCAAAACCTTTTCAAACAGGCCTCCAACCTCTAGCCTGTTTACTTATTTCATCGTAGTTGCTGATGAGATGATGTGCGCTAGTGTTGTATCATCAGTCTTGTTTCAGCAAAGTATGGAGCAACGGACAGAGCACACAGCCCCGTGTGACCCCTGTGTTCAGTTTGATGAGGTCTTACTGTAAGCATTTACTGTTTGCACAGTTTGCCAACTGTAAGGGCTCCAGAGAAGGTGGGAGGCTGGCTTTGATAAGATCCATGACTAGTCGGATGAATCTCTTCACATTAGTTGTATACAAACTCAGCACCTGCAGGTTTTCTTCTCTGGTGTAAGTTTCAGTGCCTTAAACCTCCCATAGAACTCATTCAGCTGGTTTTGGTGGGAGGGTTGTGTCGTCCACTTGTGGTATTATTTTACAGCCCGAATCTCCTGCTACATGAGCCCAGTGTCCCTGGAATCACAGAATTTGCTTTCAATTTTTCTTATGTATGCCAACTTAGTCTTCTTGATGGCTCAGTAGAGATCAGTTTTTGCCAACCTGAGCACTACTTTTACCCCCAATCAGAAGGCAGCATCCTTAATTCTCAGCTCTTTAAGGCTCTCTGATGACATCAGAAGAAGGGTTTGATAACTGTAACAACACACATACACTTGGAGCATACATGCTCCAATCAGTACTTGCAAAAAAGTCCTGAAGTGCTGTAGTTGTATCTGGCCAGGATGCAACTACTGATCTGATCGGATTTGCCTTAATGCGTTTCAGTAATGTTCTCTATGCTGGAAAAAGCATAACAGAAATGTGATGTTTGTATACACCATATTAAATGTGTTATTGCGCCTGGTTGGAACACGCTATTGGAATTTGGATAGAACAATTTAAGTTTATGTATATGAAATCTCCAGCAACCACCTTGAAACTGTCTGAATGAACAATCTCTAGCTCACTGATGGCACTGTACAGCTGCCACAGGATGTCCTGGGTGGTGACAGTGAATTACTATAGCTGGTAGAAGGGTTGGAATTTCACTATCATATCTTTCAAAAGAAAATGAGTTGTGACAATTCCACTGTTGCTGCACCACATATAATGTAATGTATACACACAGTCCTCCACCTCAGGTCTTACTGGTGCTTACAGAAGGCTGTTAGTCTGTCCAGGAATGCGACATCAGAAATGTTGCTATGGAGTCAGGTTTTGGTCAAAACAAAAACAATACAGTGTCTCGCATCCTGCTGTGTGTGTACTTGCAGCCACAGATAATCCATCTTATTCTCTAAGGAATGAACATAGGCAAGTAAGAGTGATGGGACTGATGGTCTGTTTGGGTTAGCTCGGACGCTTTCTTCATTCACTTGTGTGTCTGTGCACACTGCTTCATGTACGTCATACCCCACACAGCTCTGTCAGACCAGCTCAGTGATCTCAGCTTTCTTCAAACACAAAGTCTCCCACAGACTTCTCAAGGTTACGCCTCATTTTCAGCAGCATCTTTCGGTTGGTCCTTAATATGAGACACTCATGATGCTCAAGACAAACACAACAAATATGATGCCGTGTATTTTCCTCTAAAATTCCAAACTTTTTATCTGTAATGAATGCACAGGCGATCGTGGCTCAAGAGTTGGGAGTTCACCCTGTAATCGGAAGGTTGCCGGTTCGAGCCCCGGCTTGGACAGTCTCGGTCGTTGTGTCCTTGGGCAAGACGCTTCACCCGTTGCCTACTGGTGGTGGTCAGAGGGCCCGGTGGCGCCAGTGTCCGGCAGCCTCGCCTCTGTCAGTGCGCCCCAGGGTGGCTGTGGCAACAATGTAACTTGCCATCACCAGTGCATGAATGTGTGCGTGAATGGGTGGATGGCTGGACTTTGGGGTCCTTGGGGACTAGTAATGCGCTATACAAATATTTACCATATAACACAAAACCCTCAGCGTACCAGGTACAAATACATTTTGATCATTAATTCTTCAAAGAGAGCTGGTGATCATATGCCATTATTGGCACTTTATTCATAATTGCCACTTCAAGTAGCAATCTTTGTCTTAAATTATTAACTAGAAGTGTCTGCAATTTTAACTTATTTAATTAGCTTTATATTCTTCAACTGTTTTAGCACCATTACTAAATGGAAAATACTTCCATTAGTTCCCCTGTTATCTCATTATCCCTGTCGCTCTGTCTTTCACACGACACCCCATCTCTTTTCTTTTCTCTGTCTTTATGGTCTGTGCCAGTAATTGAGATTCACCGTCGAGAAAGAACTCACTGCTGGTATCAAAGGGTGAGGCGTCAGACAGAATGGCCTTGATCATATTTTTCACGGGGGAACAGTTATCCATGCTGTTGCCTTCCATTATTGTGCACTGCATTGTGGGTCTACACCAACCCGTTGGTCATTTGTTCCCCTCAGTTGGGTTTGCTGCATGGAGCTTATAGCTCACTTGCACAAACAGCCATGCAAATGTCTGCCAAGAGCACTTTCATCAAACTTGTACTCCACAAGCAAGGGGCACAATTTAGAACTGTGGTGCCCAGCGTGTTCATGTAGCAACAGAGTAAAGTCTAGGGCAACCAAAAGGCAGCCTGCTATTTTTCTTTTTAATTACTGCAGTATACAAAAGCCACCTGTTAATAACAAAGCATTCACGAGGAATAAATTCCTAGCAGACTTCTTTGTTAGCCAGCTGTAGCACACAAAACAGATTAAATTAAATTAGCTGAGAATATCACCTGCCTCTTCAGTCTATGCAGATGCTTTCACTGTTCCTATACCTTAGAACCACTTTCAACACCACACTGTCTGCCCATAGCCTTTAAACTGCAGGGAAAATATAGCTGGTTCACTTCTGCCTCACTACCAAATAGATAACAATGGTCATCTAACATTTCTGTTTTTCTCCTTTAATGGTGCAGTGTGTATAATGTAATACACACTACAAAATGTTGTAATAAGTCCAACATTTTGTTGACCTATCAGTCCACCCTGACCTTCACCATATAAGGATTCTGTGGCTTAAAATTACAGCTATGTCACCTCACTTCCTTTTTTGACCTGGCCAAAGGTCGACGGGTTACAATAAACTGTGTCTGTAAACAACCATGTGTATTTTTTATACTAACAGTCACTTCAGATATGATGGCAGTCTCTAAAAATAAAATTTTTATCTCAGCAGACTTTCAATGTTCGCTTTTTAGCTAACTTGAATTTACAATATAGTGATTAGCGCACACACATAAACACACACAGCTGCACCAAAGCTAATTTAATGAACTCTAATCCCAGCATACAATAAGTCACATGTGAGATGAGGATGACCTGGCAGTATCCTCGTTAGCTACACTCCTTCTGTGTGAGCGTATCTGTAAATGAATCTGACAGAGGTTGAATGTTGCAGGGTAAGATGCTGCTTCTTGTCAAAGCTACTGTCTGCACAATTTATCATTCGGATTTTTTCTCCCGTTGTCCTTTTCTGTGCTCCTTTGAAGCTAATTCAATTAATACCACTGAATATGCTTTTAAGTCAGGACAGCTATACAGAAATATTACTAAAGCATTTAAATATGCGTTGAATTCAGCATTGTACATAATTAGTTTCAAAATTGCATACTTTTAAACATTTTGATAATGTATATTTGGATGAAAACAGACCTAAAATATGAGGATAGTATACGCTGTGGTATGTGTATTTTTGTTGCATAACATTTTATACCTCCAACTCCAGCTGTCCTACTCTTTAAAATCTTTTTCATCTCCGGCTCTCATAATTAAAATCTCTAATTTGTATTCACCCTTTTCTCTGTCTGATTCTAATTTTTTCTCCTTCCTGATTTGGCTTTGTTTCAAGGGGGCTTCAGAAAACTGTGAAAGTAAAAAAACAAGGAACACATTACTAATTCAGGTAGCAATACTGACAATATGACGCAGCTCTCGAGTTAATTGTGCTCTGTGGCATATTCAGTGGGAACAAATGAGCCCATGAGGTACAGTTAGTACAGGGTTAGTGCTCTCTGTCCCGCTAGCAAGAAGTCACAATTTGTACTTTGAAAATGTAGAAAGATTATACTGTCAACTTTGCCTGCTAGGAAACAGAATTATTATTATTATTTCACTTTATTGTCCTTTCCTATCTTCCACAATGGACTGCAAATACCAATGCCAGACAGTTACAAGTTTGTATTTTATGCAACCTTTTGCAGATGTGTCTCTGATTTTTTTTCTTTAGAAAGAACCTTTTAATTCTAAAAATCTAAGCTCTAAGCTGTTTTCACACATTCATTGTGCCCATTTTCAAGACATTATACAGTGTCCAACTTACCCAGATTGGACATCAAACTAATCTTTACTTTACAAGCTCCTAATAGCACGTTCCTTAATCCCTGATTGATACCATTTGAGTGTGAGTAGTAGAACTTCC